CCGACAGTGACTCCTCCACCCCGATTGTTGTGCATACTAAATATCAGAGGTGGAATAGGAGAGATGTGATTATCTTCTATGCCAGAAATAGTAATCCGAGAATTCATACCCTAAACCAGCTTGCCAATCGAAAAGCAACTAGTTAGCATTAAGAATGCTCAAAGTATCACCAACGATCATAGTACAGAGAAACCCATTAGTAAACACCTTGTCAAGAAAGAGTGATAACATTATCTGAATGTGGTGCTTATATGCAGTAACAGGATAGAGGATACATTGATTAAGTAGAGAGTGTCATGAAACAAATACCACCAAGAGCAGTTAAGTGGGGTATAAAAAACTGGAGCAACGAGAAAAAATCGGATCAATGCTTAGATGGGCAAAGGAAGAAACCCTGGCAGTCAAGCAATAGCTATGTGTATGAAAAGAGGTGTTTTGGAAAACCAACCAATTAAACAATCATCTATAAGATTTGTGCTTTTTGCAAATACAGAAATTCTCTTTCCTAATATAGTGTGAGTTTTATAAAAGTCGAACTCAAATTACGTTATTGTATCAAATATGGTTTGTCCTTCCCTTTCTCAGTCCAAATCCATACTTACACCTAACAGTTATCAATTCTTCTGTAAAGAACAAGGTATGGATGTTCATAAAAAGTGTTTAATATAATAATTAAATACAAAACTATTCAAGAAAACAACCTTAAAAGGTACTCATCATGTCAGAAACAATCAGCTCATCAGTAAGTGACGTAATATCATGACAAGATTGGTAATAACACAGTTATTTACTGGACAAGTACACCGTCATTAAAACATATTGTTATAACGACATGCTTTGTGTTATGTGAGGCACAAGTGTGGGTTTGAATGGCTACAACACAAGTTCAAGATAAATGGGCTAACACAACGTAACATAATGTGTTGGCTGATACACAATCCCCGAGTTATATTTTACACAATCTATGCACACATAATATAAATATGTCTTCAGAACACAACAATGTACACACAATTTTACATTTAAAACCGTGAGAAAGTTGTGTTGTGAGAAAACATAAGACTTTTGTGTATATATCACTACAACCATCAACTT